GAGAGCCTCACCAGCATCAGCAGCTGGATGCCATTTTTACCAGGAGCGGTAAGACCATATCTGTTGATCCTGTCCCGGCCAGACAGGAGGAACCACTACCTGCTTCAGCACTTCCAGCCGACGATGCAGAAGTGCGGGTGGAGAAGGAAGCCCCTGCTCCCAAGCCACAACCAGTGGTTAAGGAGCATGTGCCCCAGCTTCCCTTCCCCACTCGCCTACACAAAGACAAGCTGGAGACTGAGTTTGCCAAGTTCATGGCAATGTTGAAGCAGCTCAACATCAGCATACCGTTCGTAAAGGCACTGTCGAAGATGCCCAAGTACACGAAGTTCATGAAAGATCTCTGCACCAACAAGAAGAAACTTGGGGATCTCTCGACAGTGTTGCTAAGCGAGGAGTGTTCTGCTATCCTGCAGAATAAGCTGCCCGAAAAGCGCAAGGATCCAGGGAGTTTTACTATCCCTCTTACTATTGGCAGCATGCATGTAGGCAAGTCCTTGGCGGACCTAGGTGCTAGCATAAACGTCATGTCATATAAGTTGTTTAAGAAGCTAGACTTAGGTGAACTTAGCCCTACTAGGATGAGCATTCAGCTCGCTAACCGTTCCTTTGTGCATCCTAGGGGTGTCATAGAGGATCTGCTTGTTAATGTTGGTGCATTCACATATCCTGTTGATTTTGTTATTCTGGATGTAAATGAGGATGTGGATGTGCCTTTGATTCTGGGTAGACCATTTCTTGCCACCGCCAAGGCACTTATTGATGTGCATGATGGTAAACTGATCTTGCGTGCTGGGAATGAACAGGCTACTTTTTCTGTGACTGAATTTGATCACTGTGCTATGATTGCTGTCACCCCTGTGCATGCTATGTCTGATCAGGTACACGAGCCTGTCGTGTATCCTTGTGCACCTCTCATTTTGCAGGACCCTCCTATCACTCCTTCGCCGCCACTCCATCCAGCCTCGCCTCCGAACAAAAAGCTCAAGGAGGAGTGGCGGCCGAAGCAGCAGGTTGCTAAGCCTGCACGGAAGAAGAGTGGAGACCACTACGAGCTGGTCCCACCTCCTGCACCACGACCACCCTGGCCGTCCGGGTACTCACTCGCCTGCATCTTGCCAGATGGCCAGGTCGAGCTGACCGATGATGGTAGTCGCATCCGTCGGGTGCATGGCCACAACCTGAAGCTGTACCTCAAAAGCGACGTGGATCCGCTCTTGGAGGCACCTGTTCCTGCACCGCCCTGAGTATCCACCATGGGCGTCCAGCTAAAAGACGGTAAAGAAGCGCTTGTGGGGAGGCAACCCCACCACGGTTTGATTTTCTTTCTTGTGTTTCGAGTCGGATTGTAACCCGGTTTGGGTTTGGTTTGTTTTTCTTTTGGTTTGGATGATGTTTTATTGGGCTGACCATTGGACCTAACATACTGTGTTTGAGCTCTTTGGTTTCCTTTGGCTGTGCTTGTCTTGACTGGTCCTCTCTCCAGTCCGCTTCACTCCGACTGGCCCGCTTCCAGTCTCCTGCAGTCCGTGCATACCGGTAACATCGTTCTCTTTTACTTCCCTCTTCTCCATTGAGGGCAATGTCGATCTTAAGTGTGGGGGGATGTTTATCTTTTGATTGCATTAGATCTGTTTGTGTGCTTGGAGCCTAGTCCACTGTCCAAATTTTTAAAATTTGAGGGCTCCAAGTACGTGTTCCTTGCAATTGCCTGCTCAGTATGCTTTGAATTGACAGTCTTTATAGTAATATGCAACCTAGGGAGGTAGTGTAGCACTATGGAGGATGTTGATGCATTTAAGAAGTCTCATTTCTTCTTCATACCTGTCATGGACTCTTGTATCATGTTTTGAGTTTAACAGGTGCTCGAAAATGTGCTTCAAAATAACGTCTCCCGTGCGAATAGGGCGAAAGTGTGTAAGGGGAGACGGGAATCCGTTCCCAATTTCCACCTACTACCTCCAGCATCCTTACATGTCTTTCCCCCGCACGAGGCTCGAGACATCCGCTCCTGGCATGGCCGGTAAGAGCCGGTTGGGACCCTTGAAAAAAGAAAAAAAAAATCACAGAAAACAAGCAAAACAGAAAAAAAGGGGTTCCAACCATCTTCAAAGAATACAGAGCACCTTGAAAAATGTGAGTCCATGATCTTTTGTTTTTGAGAATTTCTTCATCCACAATTCATTTGTCCTCTGTTCACTATTTGCCATGATGCCGACTCGATACTAGTGCTCTCGCCGAAGGAGCTATGAGATGACTTGTGCGTCGGTTGACCTCGTAAGTTTCTAAATGATCTAGGAAGTCCTCTACCTACGATCTGGGTTGTCTGTTGCTATAGAGGTCTGGAGAGTTGCATTGGTTTGAGTTAGGTTTGCTTGGGGACAAGCAAACGGTTAAGTGTGGGGGAATTTGATAACGATGTAATTGCACATGTTTGCGCCCCTAGTTCTTATCCGTTTGAGGGGCATAGTCATGTGTTTTGGCCTATTTTAAGCCGGGTTGTGCTATTTTGTCATATTTCAGGTCCCAGGCGTCAAAGGGAAGGCTAACCACGAGTTTCGGGTCATTCGGAGGTCATCTCGTTAAGTTGAGCTGAAAACACGGGCACACTTAAGGCATTACACGGCCGTGTTCCTGTGGCCGTGCTTTTTATGCCGAGAGCTGAGCTGATTACACGGGCAGGGCCGAGACAAAGCACGGCCGTGTTCAAGCATTACACGGCTGTATCCAACGCGAAGCACGGCCGTGTTTCTTCCCAACTGCTGGCCGTGTAATTAACCTTGGCCGAGACACGGGCGGACTCAGGCAAAGCACGGCCGTGTCCTCGACCGTGCTTTGGCCACTGATGCTTTTAAGCAGATTTTCAGCCACAAGTCAAGGGGATTCGAGTTTTTGAGAGATAAAACAATTCCTAGAGAGGGAAAGTGACGAGCAAGAGTTCCCAAGTGCCCTAGATTGATCTTCAACACCATTGGAGGCCAGTTTGAGCTTGGAGAAGTGCCGATCAACGTCCAGGAGCAGGAATCCATCCTTCACAGTATGAATTCCGCGTCTGATTCTGCTTTTGCTTTCTTCTCCATGGAGTAGTTCTCCCATTCATCTGGGTATGGAGAACCCTAGATTTGTATGTTAGGCTTTGATTGTATGAACCCAAGCACTGATTTTATGATTGATTATATTCGATTGAGGTTTTAATGATTGAATGACTTGAATCCTGATCAAATTCCTGTTGTTTCTGCTTTAACCTAGAATGAGAATATCTGCCTAGGTTAATAGAGTATCCTTCATTGAAGATAGGGAGTTGGTGACTTTAGTCGAGGAGCCAACTCACTATTCTGTACCGGATTTACTCTGGTAGTGGAGGTTTTGTTTGTTAAGGCCTCAATCTGTTTACTCCGGTGGAGGTTAGTCGCCCGCTAGAGACTCAGATTGAGAGGGTCTGAAGACCTTTAGTCGAGACTTCAGGCTGTTTAAGAACCTTCCGCGGTATAACTATCATAGAAACTGAACTTGGTAATTACAATCCGGCTTAACTGCAGTGTAGGGGGAACCATATCCGGGTGACCTCTCTTAACCTGAATACAACAGTTTACCTGCTTTGTTAGTTTGTTAGTTTAGACTTGCATTCCAGTTTCATTGCTAGATAACAAGAATTCACCGAGTAGTCATCAAATCTAGGACCCGGGTTGACATATAAACCTAGCCCGCTATACTACGCTTTAGGAAGTGGTTTCACTTGGCCAATTCCTAGGGTGACAGTAGAGTCGAGTCACCATCAACTTCAACATCTCTAGATCTTCAATCCAAGTCCCATCCTCTGCTTGAAGCTTCGTTATTCTGTTCTTGCGATGTCGTGTCAGGGCAGTAGTGTGGAAATACCGAGTATTTTTGTCTCCGTTAACAATCTGATTCGCCCTAGCCTTTTGTAACCACAGGAGTTCCTCCTGCCACAACGTCTGTTCCAGCCCTTCTCGGATCTGTCCCTCGCGTCTTAGAGATGCTTCAGTTGCCGTCGACACATTCTGGATCTCCAGCCAAGTAAGTTGTTTGGAAAGTTTCGCTTTCCTCCAGAATATGTTGTCGAACACCTCCTTGTTCTAGCGCGTAAGATGAGCCTGCAGATCCTGCAAAGACAGCAAACAATCCCTTCCTCGGGTCCACGAGGCTTCAAGGGTAGAAGAAAAGTCTTTATGGGCTAGCCAGGGCACCAGGAAACGAAAAGGCATTACCTGCCTTGGGGGAATATGGTTGTTGTGATTGCAGATAAGAATAAGTCTATGATCCGAGCGTAGTTTTGGCAAATGAGTAGTTAAAGTGTCAGGAAATTGCCTAATCCACTCCTGGTTACACAAGGCTCTATCTAGCCGTTGGAAAAGCTTTCCATTGCTCCAAGTGAACTTAGGACTCTTGAAGCCTACATCGATCAGGACGCACTCCCTAATGCACGAATTGAAGCTTGCAGCTCGAGAAGGGTTATACTTTGCTCCTCCTGCCCGTTCAGACGGACAGGTTACCGAGTTGAAGTCTCCCGCTAGCAGCCAAGGTCTCATAATGTTCTGCTCTAGGCAGCGCACAGCAGTCCATAGCGGTCGCCTGTCTTGTTCATTCGGCCTGGCATAAACGGCTGTCAAAATGACTGAAAAATTATTGCGACCAGTACACAAGAAATGGAGAAATTGCGAATCGCGATCAAGCTCAGTGATAGAGAAATCCACATCCCTCCACAGCACCCAGATGCCGCCAGAGAAACCAATAGCATCAACAAGGAAGTGCTTATCAAACCCCATAAGCTTAATTACATCTTCCTTGCCACTGATTGGTGGCTCCACGATGAAGACAAGATTCAGCTTATGGGCTAACATATAATCCTTAAAGGTCGAGAGAAATTTTGGGTGTTTAGCCCCCCGGCAATTCCAAATAAAAATCTTAAACATGGATAAAATAAAAGGGGAGAAAGGGGATTCCGACTTCCCTGACAAGTTGCGGAAGCAACACTGAGTTCAATTAATCGCGGCCGCCGCCGGAGCCATTGCTGCCTCCTGCACTGCCACAGCCGGTATCGGTCCCTCCTTCGCTTCACTTGGTTGGGGATTTGGGTTCTCTGACATTTTTTCATCGACCCCTTTGTATCCAGCGTCGCCTTTTCCCGGAATTGGAATCACTTGAAGTTGGTCCAGGAGCTCTTCCACCGCTTTTCGATGGCCATGGGATTTCTTCTTGTGATGTGGTCTTTTGCCATCCCATGTGCTCGTATTCACGCTATGACTCGACTTCGACACCCGGAGACTAGTCCCCTTCTTGTTATTTGCTCGGGAGCTAACATCCATTGATTTTCTTCTAAAATGATTTCTGATCGAGAAGTTTTCTCGGGATTCCTTAGCAGGTGACACCGAAGGGGTTGGGCTTGTCTGATGCGAGAGTCAGTGAGTGATCCGGGTCAGCTTCGGTGGGCTTCCTTACAGACTGGTCCTCCATTGTTTGGTCACTAAACGCTGTCCCGTGGGCTAAGAAGAAGAAGCCTGTTTCTCTATAGCTTTGGGCCCAATAATCCGCCAGGCCTGTGAAAGACCCATTTTTTGCATCTCCTTAGACACTCTATCTACCACCTCCTCTCCTTTCCCCTTCTGTGAGATACCCTTTCCTTTCTTCAGCTCCCCTTTCTGTTCCGACTTTCCTTTCTTTTCCTTAGCTTCCACAATTTTGTTGCCCCCGCTTAGCTCGCTCTTCCCCGTTTTAGGAGATAATTTTCCTTGACCACCGTTTTTGCTCGTTAGATTGCCTTGAGAGGGGCCTTGATTGTTTTGGGCTTTCCTTGTTTGTCTACGAGATTTCCTCTCCACCTGCATCCAAGGACCGTAGCCTGCCGGCGGTTCTGCTGACGAGTTTTCCGGCGGCGGACCCTGGTTGGTCATTTGAATTTGTGGCTCAGTCGCCGACGGTCGGAGCAGTGTGGGGCAAGTCGATTCAGTGTGTCCGATGTGGCCGCATTCGAAACAAATCTCCAGGAGATTCTCATACACCACCAGTTGGCAGAAACCATCGAGCCGAATGTGAGTTTTCAAGGGCTTGTTCATGTCCAGTTCAACGGCAATCCGAGCAAATTTGCCTCGCTCCATGTGCTCCGTATGATAATCGAGCTTCACCGTTCTTCACAACAGATTTCTCAACGCGAAGAGCACTTCCCTATGGTAGAAGTGGATCGGAAGCTCTAGTTGCTGGACCCAAGCTACCACCGACCGATGGGGTTTATCCGATGTGCGGAAGGTATGCGACCATTGATGGACAACTAAGTAGTGATCCAAGATCACCCAAGGCCCGCCAGTAAGTGCATTGAGGTAGTCTTTCTCCTCACTGAAATTAACCAGAAAGGTAGAGTTGTTGAGATCAAGGATCTCCATATTCCCACTGGGCTTCCACTTCCAGCGTAGCTGCGAACACATGTATTGGTAGGAGATAGACCGGCCTAGAAGATGAGCTACCAGAGTGCGTTTCCAAGGAATACAGAGGCGTTCCTTAAGTTGCGGTGAGACTTTTACTTTCGGCTCTCCCTGGTAAAGGCCAACTTGCAGGTCGTGTTCGCTAATGAATGTCCACGCCTGGGTTTTGGACGGAGATTTCCCCGGTGATCCTGCCAGCGCCGATTTGTAACTCAAAAGGGGCAGACATTGCAGATTTTGCACGGACTTAGACGGAGACAAGGAAGGCGAAGGAGGGGGATTTGGCGGCCGTCTCGATAGGGCCATCTCGGCCGCCGACATGTTGCAGTTGCTCAGAGGTTCAGAGAGCATTCTAAAAATCCTTTCACTATCCGTCTTGTTAACTACCATTTACCCACTCTCTCATGCTATAACCTTTATCTTCATTTATTGTCTGTTGGGTTTACATCTAATATTGTCCATTAGGTTTCATCTATTGTCCATTGCTTCGATTATCTATTAGGTTATTGTCTTTGATCTTTCGCCAAAATCATCGCCTTGGCCCAGCAATTCCCAACCTATCTCAAAACACTATCAACGAAATCATAAGTTGTCCTCTTCCACCGTTTTTCATGGCCGCTGCCGAAAATACATACCATATCTCGAAATACTATCGATGGAATCCTAGGTTGTACCCATTATTTCACCGTGTCCCAAGACCGCTATTGAAAATCCATACCAATATGCTATGTGTTGCCGAGTTTTGTATGGGATTAAGTTTTATATTCTTTAGTGTTTTCTTATTTCTCTTTTTCTTTTGGCTAAGCATGACAATTGAACTCAAATTCATTGGTATTCAACCTAATTCGACCAGCTCAAAGCAACATGAATGCGACTTTAGTTATTTTAAATTTCTATTTATTCTTTTCGTTGAAAATAACAATTGAACCCAAACTCATGGTATGGGCAAGTTTTGTATTGAGAGCAAGTTTTATCTGCTTTTGTAGTTGGCATGTTGGGTGGAGTGTGAATTTGTTAAAAAATTGATTCGACCAGGTCTAAGCGACTTGAACACGGTGTTGACGAGTTTTGGATCGAGAACGAGATTTGCCTGTTTAATGTCATTTTATTTTTCCGTTTCTTTTTTGTTGAGAATGACAATTATAGGTGTCAAAACATAGCCCGACCCGATTAACCCGCTCGATCAACCCGACCCGCAACCCGACCGCAACTCGAATTGACTAAAAGTCAACAACCCGTAACCCGCCCGACCCGCAACCCGATTGACCCGCAACCCAACTAACCCGCAATCCGACTAACCCGCAACCCGATTGACCCGCAACCCGACTGACCCGCAACCCGACTGACCCGCAACCCGATTGACCCGAACCCGATTGACCCGAACCCGACTAACCCGTAACCCGACCGACTCAACCCGAATTTCATCTAATCCACTTGAATAATTAGAAAAATATACAATACATAGTTTTTCAAAATAAAGTTTTTCATTCTAAACTTAAGTAAAATTATTTTTCCATTTCGTATAAGAAATTTTAAAAATATGAAACTCACTTGATATTACGTATTTTAAGAAAATTTCATTCTTTCGATTGCCTCTTTCGGAGAGATCGAGGGAAAGGAGAAGAGAAGAGGATAAGGGGAACACAGAAAGTTGGAGCAACGGGCGTTGACTGTGCCGTCGTCGATCTCCGTCACTTTGATTGGACAGAAAAGAGAAAGAAGAAGATGAACAGAAGGAAGAAAAAAATAAGATAGAGATAGAGGCTGCTGTAGTGGAGAGAGGGAGAGGAATGTGATAAGGAAGGGTGGATCTTCGTTGTTGAAATTTTCAGCAGGGCGGGCACTTTGAAATTTTTCGGGAGCCAAAAAATAAGTCGGTCAAACATGTTGGTGGGAGGGAATTTTTCTATCCTTAAATTTTGGCTTGGCAAAAAAGTTGGAGGGATATTTCCCTCCCAAATTTTTAGAGCCAAAAAAATATATACTATTACTATTAGTAGTCTTATCAATGTAGGGGTGAACAAACACACCCGCAAACCGATCCAACCGTTCAATCCGACCCAACCCACCCGTATTTATCGCTAAAACGAAGGTTTTGGGTTGAGTGAGAATTTTCTTTTGTACAACCCGCCTCTTTTGGGTTGGGTTTGGATTTTGGATTACATAACCCGTAGAACCCGACCCAACTCGTGTTCCAATTATTGGTATGAGTTCAAATCCAAAAAAATACTTATGTCGTATATAACCATATTTATGAGAAAATTAAGATATTTCGCCATATTTTTATCTTAAGGTCCACCTAATCTAATGCATTCCCCGGCATAAAATTTAGACATAAATTTAATATAGTTATGATTCACATAATTCTTTTTCTTGTTTACAATTTTGATAGAATAAAATATTTTATAACCATATTTGTTTCATTTAAAGTTGTAAAGGATATAGAGACTTAGTCTATAGAGAGTTTAGATAATTTGGGTATAGAGATTTATGAACGTTTATAATTTGTTCTATTAAGTGAATTAATCATTAGTGACAACAATTATACTAAACTTGATAAGTAATCTTTGACGGTTCGTTGTTTATGGTATAAAGTATATGGTTAGGGTATAAGGTACAAATGGTTTAGAGTGTATATGGTTATTGTATAAGATATTGATGGTTTTGACGGTTCTAAGTTTTTTATTAACATATGCTTACTTGAAGTCATTTGAAATCTTTAACGACAGGAGATCCCTTTTTAATTTATGTTTATGGTACGTGCTTAGGGTACAATGTATGTGGTGTAGAGTATATGATATATGGTTAGGGTATAGCAATTAGCAAATGTCACTTTTATCTATGTTTTGAAAATCAAAGTATGAATTTCACTTTTAAATTAACTATACTAGCAAAATCACAACTCAATGACATATGGTTAGGGTATGGGGTATAGGGTATGTAGTTAGTGTATAATGTATTGATGGTTAAGGGTATACAATCAACAACATATACTAACTTAATATTGTCGATTGAGGGTAAGGCTAACTGTATAGGATATATGTTATTGAGTAAGTTATGATTGAAGTCACAATAATTTTACTAACTTTGATAGTTAATCTTTAATGGTTCAATTTTTAGGATAATTCGAACAAATTTACAAATAACTCGTTTGGCAACAGTTTACTGAAGTTATTTGGGCAATGAGTTATTTCAAAATAACTCCTTTTATCACTCTGCTTTTGCCAAATACCACAAGCCATATACCAGATTTGCATGGTTATACTAAACGAGATACTTTAATCCAATTACTATTGAATTAATACTAAAATATCAAATAAACAATTAATGGTGTCTTTTGGTTGCAAATATTAATATCACCATTACTATTAGCTAGTGTACTTTACCAATTATGATTAATTACATAACAAGTTTGCAAGTCATACAAATTGATTTAACATTTTGACTAGTTTTTTTCACAAAAATTAAGTATATATATACGAGGTAGAAATAAATTGGTTTAAAAGTTGAGAAAAATATTTTAAATTAGTGTAATAAAATGTATAAGTTGGTAACGAGTAAAGAGTAAGTTATTCGATGCGCTGGCCCGAACAACCCGAAACCCGATCCGCCCGCAACCCGCCCGACCCAAAACCCGATGAACCCGAACCCGGTGAACCTGCAACCCGATTGAACCCGAACCCGATGAACCCGTAACCCGACTAACCCGCAACCCGTTTGAACCCAAACCCGATGAACCCGAACCGACTAACCCGCAACCCGACTAACCCGTAACCCGTTTGAACCCGAACCCGATTGAACCCAACCCGAACCCGCCCGAACCCGCCCGATTGACACCTATAATGACAATTGAAGCAAGACTCAATGCTTACGAGTGTTGTATCGAGAGAAAATTTATCTGCTTTTAGAATTGGCATGTTGAGCCGATTGTGAATTGTTGAGAACTCGGTTCGAACCAATGAAGGCGAGTTGAACTTGATGTGTAACGAGTTTTATCCGCTTTAGTGTTTTTTATTTATCTTTTTCCTTTTGGTTAAGAACCCATACATATGGGTATCCAACCTAATTTAACTTGATAAAAATCACTTAAACCCGATATTTACAAGCTTAAGGGAAGGAGTGATTTTTATTTGCTTTTGTAAATGGCGGGTCGAGTCGGTTGTGAATTTGTTACAAACTCGGTTCAAACCGATCAAAGAGAGTTGAACATGATGTTGCCAAGTTTTGGGTCGTGAGCGAGTTTTATCCAATTTAGTGTTTGTTAATTTCTTTAGCGGGTGTGAGTTTTATTTGCTTTTTTAATTGTTTGGTAAGATAGGTTGCGATTTTTTTTACAAACTTGGTTCAACCCGATCAAAGAGAGTTGAACATGACGTTGCCGAGTTTTGGGTCATGAGCGAGTTTTATCCGCTTTAATTTATTTTTCATTAATTTCTCTTTTTCATTTTGGTTGAGAATGAATTTGAGAAAAGAAACAAAGCAAAAAAAAACAAAAAAACAAATGAAAACTAATCAATAGTGTTACGTGAGAAGATTTAACATAGAAATCATTTACTCGACGACCCTTCTCGCGTATTAAAATTTATCGCTGCGTAGACTACTTGGAGTTGTAAATGACAAGCCCTTTTACTTTTGGATCAAAATTCAGAGTATTAATCTTTAAAATATCATGTTCTCGCTCACATGCGAAGCGATAACGAGTGGGTTTATGCTAGTAATATAATATATAAAAGCCAATGTTGTAGGTTACTATTCATTAGTAGCTCTCACACTCCTCCTTGCAAGTGGAGAAGTTTAAAATTTTCTTTTACCCTATTCTCTCATTCTACAACCTTTGTGTTTAGCTATTGTTTGTTGGGTTTGTATTTATTGTTCATTGTGTTTCTCATAACAATTATTGCCTACTAAATTTAAGCTATTGTTCAATGGTTTCTCTGTTTCAACTATTATCCACTGGGTTTTCGTCTATATGTTTTGGGCCAAATCATCGTCTTTCCCTAGCATTTTGCAGCCCAATTCGAAATATTGTCTGCGAAATCTTAAGTTGTCCCCTTGCACCGTTTGCCACAGCCGAGACTGAATATCCATAACAGATACGCCCCTGTTCAATCCTCGCCTTCACTCACCAAACCCATGTTCAATCCTCGCCTTCACTCACCAATTCACAACTCTTCTTGAAACACTGTCAGCGGAATCTTAAGTTGTTCCCTCCACCGTTTCCCAAGGACACTATCGAAGATTCATACCAGAACTGCTCTATGTTGATGCGGGTTGAATTGGGACCAAGTTTAACTCGCCTGAGTATTTTTTTTATTTCTCTTTTTCCAACCTCATTTGATATAGTCAAAGCG